TTCATATTTATTTTTGTTTAATATTATGAATATATAACATTAGAATTGTATCAAAATACTTTATACAAAGCTTATATTTTTTTTTGAGTTTCTATATATTTTTTTAATATTTATTTTTTACTTATGACATCATAGATTGACTCATTTGACCTAGAAGATTAGATCGCTAAACTACCATCTAGATATGAAATTGGTTTTAAATTTTGCATTTAATTTATATCACTAATAAAATAATCATTATTTATCATACTTATATTTTATTTAAATGATTAATATATAATATTATAGATGTGCCCAAGATTGTTTTATACTTTTTGTATTATTCTACTTTAAAAATTTTATTTTTAATTATAAATCATGAGTTAACCCATTTGGTTTGAAAGGTTGAACCATTAATCCGCCCCTAGATAGGAAAATTCTTTCATCTCCTATTGGTTTTAAGTTCTATATTCCATGTTCATCATTATTAAAATTGTCTATTTTATTATACTTATTTTTTTAATATGACAAATATATAATAATAGAAATGTGTCCAAATTTTACAAATTTTCTTTATTTTCTATATTTTTTATTTATATATTTCTAAATTTTTATTATTTATTTATGACATCATGGAATTATCCATTTGACCCAAATGGTTGAACTACTTACCACCTAGATGGAAAAATATGATTTCATTTCTAGGTTTATTTTAAAAATATAAAATTTCATTATAATAATAACTATTGTGTATTGATTTATTAGTGGAATTTAATGATGATAATCAAAAGTACAAATGTTGGATTGAATGTGAGAGAGAGAGAATGTGATTTACTTAATGACTTAATTGTGAGACTTGATGAGAGGTAATAATTGAATGCACTTAATAGTATTATTTTAATTGCATTTTCTACTTAAATCTTGTATTCAATTTTTATCATTAATAAAAGTAATTCTTATTTTCATATTTAATATTATGAATATATAACATTAGAATTGTATCAAAATGCTTTATAAATTGCTTATATTTTTCTTTGAGATTCTATATATTTTTTAATATTTATTACCTAGTTATGACATTGATTGACCCATTTTACCTAGAAGATTAGATTGTTCACTTACCATCTAGATATGAAAATGTTTTTATTTTCAGGCTGGTTTTAAAATTTTCATTTAATTTATATAACTAATAAAATAGTTATTATTCATCATACTTATTTTTTGTTTATATGATTAAAATGTAATGTTATAGATGTAGGGGTGAGCATTTGGTTTATTCGGTTAAAAACCAACCGATTAAATTGAAAATTTTTTAAAACCAAATTGAAACTAAATATTAGAAAAAACAAAATTTTCAAGTTGGCTTTTAGTTATTTTGATTAAAACCAAATTTTAATAATTTATATACTATATTATATACATTATGACATATAATATATAATATATATTATGAAAGCAAATTTCATTATGTTATATATTAATAAATAAATAATATTATATATTGCATATGATATACAAAAATTTAGTTTATTTTGTTAATCGAATTTCTAATTCTAATAACCAAATTAACCAAAACCCTAAAAAAATAAACCAAAATTTTTAGTTTGGTTGTAACTGAATTATGCTTACCCTAATAAAAGATGTGTCCAAAATTGTTTGGTATTTTTTGCATTGTTCTATTTTAAAAATTTTATTTTTACTTATACATCATGAGTCAACCCATTTGACCTGAAAGGTTAAGTTGTATATTCAATGTCAATCATTAATAAAATTATGTCTATCCTATCATACTTATTTTTTAACATGACAAATATATAATAATATTATTGTGTCCATTTTTTCAAAAATTCTTTATTTTCTATATTTTTGTTTTTTTGTATTTCTAAATTTTTATTATTTATTTATGACATCATGGAATTATCCATTTGACCCAAATGGTTGAACTACTTACCCACCATCTAGAAGAAAAAATATGATTTTATTTCTAGGTTTCTTTTAAAAATATCAAATTTCATTGTATTAATAATTATTGTGTATAGTTTTATTAGTAGAATTTAATAGTGAGAAACAAAAGTATTAATATTGGATTCAATGAGAGAGGATGTGATTTATTTAATGTCTTAAATGTGAGACTTAATAAGAGGTAATTGAATGTATTTCATAGTATTATTTTAATTACATTTTCTACCCTTACAATGGAGATGAACCAAATTTAAGAGAAGGGGTATTTTAGTAATGAAAATTTCTAGAAGCCAATTTTTTTAATATGACAAATATATAATAATATAATTGTGTTTATTTTTTCAAAATTTCTTTATTTTCTATACTTTTATATGTTTTATATTTCTAAACTTTTATTATTTATTTATAACATCATTGAATTATCCATTTGACCCAAATAGTTGAACTATTTACCCACTACCTAGATGGAAAAATATGATTTCATTTCTAGGTTTATTTTAAACATATCAAATTTCATTGTATTAATAATTATTGTGTATAGATTTATTAGTAGAATTTAATAGTGAGAAAGAAAAGCATTAATGTTGGATTCAATGAGAGAGGATGTGATTTATTTAATGACTTAAATGTGAGAGTTAATTAAATGTATTTAATAGTAAATATAACAAATATATAATAATATAATTGTGTCCATTTTCTCAGAATTTCTTTATTTTCTATATTTTTGTGTTTTTTGTATTTCTAAGTTTTTATTATTTATTTATGACATCATGGAATTGTCCATTTAACCCAAATGGTTGAACTACTTACCACCACCTAGATGAAAAATTATGATTTCATTTCTAGGTTTATTTTAAAAATATCAAATTTCATTGTATTAATAATTATTGTGTATAGTTTTATTAGTAGAATTTAATAGTGAGAAACAAAAGTATTAATGCTGGATTCAATGAGAGAGAATGTGATTTATTTAATGACTTAAATGTTAGACTTAATACGAGGTAATTGAATATATTTAATACTATTATTTAAATTATATTTTCTGCCCTTACAATGGAGGTGAACCAAATTTAAGAGAAGGGGTATTTTAGTAAAGAAAAATTCCAAAAGCCAATTTTTTTAATATAACCAATATATAATAATATAATTGTGTTCATTTTTTTTTCAAAATTTCTTTGTTTTCTATATTTTTGTATATTTTATATTTCTAAATATTTATTATTTATTTATAACATCATGGAATTATCCATTTGACCCAAATGGTTGAACTATTTACCCACTACCTTGATGGAAAAATATGATTTCATTTCAAGGTTTATTTTAAACATATGAAATTTCATTGTATTAATAATTATTGTGTATAGATTTATTATTAGAATTAAATAGTGAGAAACAAAAGTATTAATGTTGGATTCAATAAGAGGGGATGCAATTTATTTAATGACTTAAATGTGAGATTTAGTGAGAGGTAATTGAATGTATTTAATAGTATTATTTTAATTACATTTTCTGCCCTTACAATGGAGGTGAACCAAATTTAAGAGAAGGGGTATTTTAGTAAAGACAAATTCCAAAATCCAATACCTTTAAAATATCAAATTTCATTGTATTAATAATTATTGTGTATAGATTTATTAGTATAATTTAATAGTGAGAAACAAAAGTATTAATGTTGGCATCAATGAGAGAGGATGTGATTTAATTATTTAATGACTTAAATGTAAGAATTAATGAGAGGTAATTGAATGTATTTAATAGTATTATTTTAATTACATTTTTTGCCCTTACAATGAAAGTGAACCAAATTTAAGAGAAAGGGTATTTTAGTAAAGAAAAATTCCAGAAGCCAATATGTTATTCACACTTTTATAGGTAAAAGTTCTCCCTGACTCCAACTAATTTTGTAAAATTGCTTAAAAAATGTTTCCTCAACCTTTTTGTTTCTCTCTCATTTTTTATCAAACCAAATACGGCCTTAATTTCCACTATCTCACTTTTTTATATGGAAATAGGGGGATTCCCTCATATGATGTGCCAATGGCTACTCATCCCATGTGATTCGGAAATAATCTTTGGTTGTCCATGTTTGCATTTGATGCCTGAAAGCAATAATAAGATAGCGAATTAAGCTAGACCCTGCAATTGACGTCTGAAATGTGCATAGTCTTTTTCAATGGTTTTATTGATACAAATTTGGAGTTATTGAAGGAAAAACGTCACAGAACAGCAACAAATAATTGAAAAATGTAATTAGTAGAAAGCAAGTAATGTAATTGACAATTAATGGAGGAGGCCACGAGGGTCCCTCCCATTTGATCCATCACCAGATTCCTTATTCTGACTAATCTTGATTTTAATTATCCGAAGAGAGACAACAAATGGTTGAAAAGAACAGAAATGCTAGCTCAACTACCACTTGTTTTCACTCTGACTGAATCTTGTCTATTTCACTTTTGCTCTTCTTCTTAATTCTACCCTCCATTAATTGGGATCTGGGTTCCAAGAAAAATGTGAAAAGCAAACATTGATGAGAGCAATGTATTAAAAACTGAACTGGAACCGCTTTGGTTCAAATAGATGATTTATTCTAAATTAAAAAATAAAAAATGGTTAAAAACTGTTTTCTGGGACCTCTGGGCTGGTGGAATGAGTTGAGAGTTTGATTAACCGGTTGCCTAGATTCAATGGATGAATGAAAGCCAACAAATTTTCCATCTTAGACCGCACACATCAACAACATTCAAGCCATGAGTATTAGTGCAGATGTGCGGTGTATGATGGTCTTATGTTTGACATAACCCCAAGAAAAATAAATAAGAAATTTGTATAGTTCTTGGCATTTTGGCTGGATTATCTGCTGCAAGTGTAAGAGTGTGGTGTTGGATCAATGGATGCCTTTCACACATTCTTAAATCTTAACCCGTGACCCGTGCAACAAACAATTACTTGTCTTTTCTTCCTTTTCTATGCTCTTTCTCCTCAGAAAACGATAGACAGATGGAAATTGGAGATAGAGATCCTCACTTATGTAAGCATTATATAAACAAGCAATGTAATCTACTGGCCCTCGCTCTCCAATCAATCTTCTTTGCCCAAATATAATAACATACAAACCCCCCTTTTCCTCTCTCTCCCCCATGATTTTGTATCTGTACAGCTTCGCTGTACCATTATCTCATCAAACACTTGTTTTCTTACACTGTTAGGCTGTACTCTCTCTCTTTCCTTCTCTCTCAGACTGATAGAGATCGAGAGAGATCGAGAGAGAGAGAGAGAGAGAGAGAGAGAGAGCTCCTATCTTCATCATTTCAATCCTCAAAAAGCTAACATGGAATCTGGGTTCCACAAGTATAGCTTCTTTGCAGCTTCTGCAGCTGTTATCGTTCTGATTTCAGCAGGTCTCCGCCAAGCAATGGCGGAAGGGGAAGAGGACATTGGTCATAACGTGGAGGGACTAACGTCGACGGGCTGTGACTTCTACCATGGGTCGTGGGTGTTGGACGATTCTTTCCCACTCTACGACACCTCGAGCTGTCCCTTCATTGATAAGGAGTTCGACTGCCAGAAGAACGGCCGGCCTGATAAACAGTACCTCAAATACAGATGGAAGCCCACCGCCTGCGACCTGCCAAGGTAAACCCGCTAACTCGCCGCCTATTTGTTTTCTTTCCCTTGTCATCTTACGATGCGATGGCTCGTGCGCTGTGGCTGTGTCGAGTGTTTTGACTCTATCTGTATCTTCTGTGTCGGCATTGCCGCATTGGGCCTCCCAATTTGGATTGTACCGGTTCAAGTAGGGATAACCGAACCGTTGGCATTTTTTTTAATCGAACCGGTATTATCGATTTCTCAAAAAATGGTAATTAAAAGCGAACTTAAATTAATCAAGTAATTGATTGACCAGTTTGGTTAATCATCGGTTCGATTTATCGGTTTTTTGGTTTTTTTAATTTTTATATTATATATTGTAAATATAATAAAAATTATAATATAAAAATATTATATTTTAAATAATAAATAATATATCATATATTATAAATATATATATTTATATATAATGCATATTTATTAATTTATATTAATATATAAAAATATATAATATATATAATATATAAAAATATATGTATACTGGTTGGTTCGGTTAATCACCGGTTTTTTATATTAGTTAATCAAAACCAAACTAATACTTTCAGTTTTTTAAAAACACCAACCCGACCAATTCGGATAATCAATTTTCGGTTCGATTTCGGTCAATTTTTTCAGTCGATTCAATTTTTCGATTTTTTGCTCACCCTTAGGTTCAACTTGGGCTGCTTATGCTTTGATAAGGCGGTTTTACACATGGAATAAGTTTCACCCAACATCCCTTGCCACGTGGCTAAATCAAATAATTAGCCTTTTTTTAAATGAATTGAAGCTTTTGTAGAATTATTTGGGGAAAGATCCAATTCAGAAAGCCCACGTGGCAAGTCAGTACTAGAAATTTCCTCAATTCCATCCTAGGTGTCAGTAATTTAGTAAAATACTTGGAAATTACCACCATCGAATTGTATCTCACTTTTGATTTGATCTTTGAAGTTTGAACATTCACTATTCCCTCCCCCCTCCAAAAAATATATAAAAATAGGAATTTTCCTGTTAGAGTGGGTCATAGGGAATCTAAAGTAGACAAGGTGACCAGTTCAAGAATCCTTTTACCTGTACTAACTATAACCAAGTAGCATCTGCATTGCACATGCAAACCGGAGATTAATCTTTTTTTTTATTTATTTTTTTAATATTTTTAACTCTCTTTTTTCTTTTCTTCATTTTTTTAGAACTGATTTGTTTGCAGTGCTATTTCATTTGCATTGATGCAAAAGTATAGAATGCAATACTGCAAATGATTTGAGTTATTGTCTTGTTTTGTTTGTTTGCAATATTGTAAATGAAATAAAATAAAATCTGGTGCAAAACACTGAAGCAAAAGTGAACCAGAAATTGTATTCTTCTAATTTGTTACATATCATGCATTTGTAGTAGTAAAGATGAAATTGCACTGCAAATAATATCAGAGGAAAATATGAGTACAACACAGGAGCACAGACATGCTTACCCCACTCTAGGATTACAGGTCTTCCTTCACTTTACATATTCTCGTAGAAATAAGAAAAAGTAAAAGTGTAATTACTAAAATACCCCCAATCAAGCCCATCAATGATATGAATTCGACGTGTAAAGCCAACCCTTTGAATAGATTCCCTAATCTCAAGAGTAGGATTAGCATTCCTGGTATTGAAGGTGGCCTCACAGCTCCTTTTGTACTAGGGTCTAGGGCCACAGAAATGCCATCGCTTATCACCAACATGATCACCTTTTACATGTAGTCCACAGCTTTTTATCAAGGCCATGGCCCATGGGCCTAATAAATTTCTTATGAAGCCAATTGGGCCCAAATTGTTGTACCTATACCAGACCAGCCAAGGTGGGCCGTTGCATTGACCGCCCAGATAAGGTTGGACAGAGCGGGTCAGGCCGATAGGTAGCTCAAAGTTTGAGGCGCTGTTCCAATATTCAGCCCGGATCATATGGTCGGACCATGAGAACCGGGCACTGGTTTCCGTTCTGGGTCCCAATTAAATGACAGACAAACCATCCGATGAACCAGTAGAACCGGGACCCATAGAGCATTCCGGTTTTTAGTCCTGTCTGAGCCTTAAAACACTGGTTTGAGGTTCAGCCGTTCAGGATTATCTTATAAACTTTTGTGGTTGTTAGGTTCAACGGCGAGGATTTCATAAGGAGGTTTAAGGGGAAGAAGATAATGTTTGTGGGGGACTCACTAAGCCTGAACCAGTGGCAATCGCTGATATGTATGCTTCATGCCGCAGTGCCGCAAGCAAAGTACAACTTGGTTAACCGCCAAGCCTTCACATTACCGGTGGGTTACAAACTTCCTACACTGCCTACTTTACTTTCTCACATCTCACATTCCAATTCCTTTGATCACATTTACATACAGTAATAAACTAATACAGTTGTTATTGCTGCGACCAGCTATAGTTCAGGCTGTTGCTGTGAATTGAGAAATTCCACGTCAGATGTGGAGCATACTCTTCTGACGTGGAGCCTGTTCATTTGCAGCAATACCCCAGAGAATCCGGATTTGCTCCTCACATCAACTTCACAGTGCTTGAAGCCTTGCATTGGGGAATTCGGCTTCAGTCAGAGCAATGTCCATTCGGGCAGTTTTTACTGCCTTGCATTGAGAATATTTCGCACTTGTGTGCTTTATTTCATGGGGAAATATTTATAATGCAAGGTGGCAAAAGACTATTGGTGTGGGCACAGATTTGCGCTGATATAAGCCCATCTATGTATTGGGAATATGTATACGTTCTTGTATATTGTCATTGATGGAAACATATTGGTGTGAGGCGATCTCTGTGACTGAGGAGCAAATCCGATTTCTAGGCCTGAAACCTTGTTCTAGAAAAAGTTGTTGAACAAGAATAATCTATATGAATCAAAATTCGGGATGGCCTTTAAAAAATATGGAATAATTTTTCTGACAAAAATATTTCAGATATTCAGATATTATTTCCGTCCTTTTTTACAGCAAAATTTTGTTTTCCGCAAAGAAGAAAAGAAATTTTTATTTTACAAGGGGGAAAATATAACTCAAATATTTAAGCATGGAAAAGAATTTCCATTCATTTTACATTGAAACAAATTCAGCCCCGCTTACCAAAAAAGAGAAGAAAAATCAGCCCCTATGATTTGTTAGAGGCCTACTGTGGCAAAACTGAATCAAGTACATATTTGATATTTTTCATGTGGGCAAATAGAAAACAAGCGAGGGGGTCCTAATGAGATCTGAGCCATTAGATTGGAATCTGTCTTTTTTTTCTATGTTTTCTTTTCTTTTTTTTTTTTTTGGTATAGGACTAGGCTGGGCAATGGGTATTTTGCAGGTAAGTTCATCTTATTTAAGACATTGGCTTGGATGTCTTATGCCTAATTGGGCCCATGGCCCATGGCCCAATAGTATTTCCAGGTCCTTATTTATATTCAAAAGATAAGATTAAGCTACAGCGCCTACAGAGCTTTTAAACAATCCAATAAGCTCCAAAGCTGCTAATCAGTTCCATACTAATAAACGGGGACAAAGCGTCCTCTTTATCAAGAATCCAAAAACCATCCCATTAGATGATGGAGACTCATTTAGGGGGACCGAACTTGTGGTCCAGTGTATTCTTCTTCTTCTTCCCATCTTGGCCAAGAAACGAACCAATTGATCAAGGAATTTGCAGGAATATGGACTGTCGGTGATGCTTTCCCGTAATGAATTCCTCGTCGACATAGTTTCCGATCGAATCGGCCGTGTTCTAAAGCTCGACTCCATCGAAGGCGGCAATGCGTGGAAAGGCACCGACATGTTGATCTTTAACACTTGGCATTGGTGGATCCACACAGGAAGCAAGCAACCGTATGAACTTCTGAGGAACTCTTGAGCTTGGCTTTTGTTCCTTGGCTAAATTGTACTTGTTTTTGGTCTTATTCTCTACAAAATTGGATTGTAACTAAGAATAGCTAGCACAATGTTTGTTGCATTGCAGATGGGACTACATTGAATTAGGAGGCAATGTGTACAAAGACATGGATCGTTTGGTGGCTTTTGAGAAAGGATTGACAACATGGGCCAATTGGGTGGACTCAAACATTGATCCAGCCTCAACAAAGGTCTTCTTTCAGGGCATTTCTCCAACCCATTACGAGTAAGCTCTATAAAGTATAAACTGTACCATTTCTGAACAATTGTATAGCTCTAGAGCTAGAGATGGCAACATTGGAAGCTTGTATCCTGATCATTAGTTCTTGTTTCCTTTTTGAATGCCAAATGATCAGTGGCAGGGAATGGAACCAGCCCAAGATGAGCTGCAATGCCCAAACACAACCTGTAAGTGGGTCGACATATCCCGGAGGTTCGCCTGCGCCGGCAGCGGTGGTGAAGAATGTGTTGGGTAAGATGTCGAAACCGGTAAATCTGCTCGACATAACGACACTATCACAGCTGAGGAAAGATGGTCATCCCTCTGCATATGGCCCGGGCGGGGCGAAAGGAATGGATTGCAGTCACTGGTGTCTTGCAGGCGTTCCTGATACTTGGAATGAACTTCTGTATGCATCTCTTGTCCTGTGACTGAAGATAGGGCATCAATAACAGCCAAAGTCAAAATTATCTACCAAAGAAAATATACAAGTTGAAATTAGAAGCAATTGTATCAATGCAATTTATTTTCTCTAAAGTCAAATCTGTCCATGTCCATTTATCCAAATCATCAAATTTGGCCTATTGGCATTCTGTGGTTTACTGGTTCGACCAAGCAGACCAGTTGCAGCTTGAACCAAGGATTTCCATTTGTTTGCTGTTTGCAACTGTGTTTTGGTTCTACTACATGATACAACTTTTTATACTTTCTCATTTGCATTCACCGGTAGTGTAATTTTTGCATCTCAAAAATCAATGCAAAATTTGCACTGCTTTATACCTCAATTCTCACTCATATAAAGTGGAAATCACATCCTCTTGCTTCCTACCTCCCTCCTAAATGCCAATGAATTACAAAATTTTTAGGGAGAATGATCAATCAGCCCAGATCAGAATTTTATAGCCCCAGTACATGGGGAATGCATCCTGATCGTGAATTGATGCCAAATTCACGGGCAGGATGTGGTTTATAGGGGGGAGAGGGCTAGTAGTAGAGGGGCTGGAATTCAGAATTCTGCATCTTGTGTATCTGTACTTCTCCAAAATTTTTAACACCTAATCGGACATCTAATCGGTAAGCTCAAAAGTGAACCAGAATTTACATGGCCAAATCAAAATCAAAAGTAAACAAGAATTTATACCGTCAAATCAAAAGCAAAAATAAACCAGAGAATTTACAGTCTATTTGCACGTGGAAATTTTAAGAATAATGATTAATAAAGGAATTGATTGGAGAGTAGGTCTTGATCCTTTTGAACAACTGAACGTCGAATTCTGGATCCAAGTCTTATTAATTAGGTTAGGCTGTGTTTTATCATCATCTGACCGTCAAGTTTTCATTATCAATTAATTAGGTGGGATCCACCCATGTTCTAGTTAATTTATCACTGGACCACTTGTGAAAAATAGTGGTTTTCTAAATTCCTCCCTTTGCTTCTTCCCAGGGCAGCCATTAAAAAGCAAAATGCACCGAAACAGTTTGTCTAAGACAGCTTTGTCTTGAAGAAGAGAGATTATGTATAAAAACCATTTTTGCTTATAAAAATGGCTTAAAAAAGGGGATGACAATTTTTCTCATCCCGATCAGATATCCAATCATAGGATTAGGGATGGAGATTTTTTTGACGGAGCAGGGACAGAGATGGAGATAAGTAGGGATCTTAACCTGGGTTCGGGACAAGAAACCTGTCTTCTTCAGAGATTGGTAATAGAGGACAAATTTTATTACAAGGGGATCAGGTCGATAACTGGAAATATGATCCCCTTTCCCTTACAATTTCTACCAAAGATGCCACCCACCAATCTTATTCAACTGATTGATTAGTCGGCCTACCACGAAAATCATTTCAGTGTTAATGATTAATTGGCGATATATCTCAAAGTCCAATCAATCCACATCCCTATCAAACACTAAATACACGTATCTATTTATCTCTCTCTTGATAGCAAGAAAGAAAACGGTGCATCCATGGCTGAATTATAATATTTAAACGCCCCTTATGAATCCATTTAAAGAAGCAATTAAAGCAATTTTTGTAACCCCTTGACGTAACTCACAAGAGTTGTGAACCATAGAATTCAATCCACAAGAAACTAAGCCAACCAACTTCTTCAATTCTTCTATATAAAGATCTCTTTCTCTATCTCTCTCTCTCATACACACACCCTTTTTCACTTTTTTCTTTGTCTCTGCTCTGCAGTCTTGTTTTGGAGACAAATGGGCTCTGGGGTTGATGCCTATTGGTGCTTTTTTGCACCACTAATCATTTCTTCCCTCCAGCAAGTGCGTGGGGAGCATTTCAATAATGTAAGCTGGTGGGGACAGAGAAAGCAATCACAGGGCTGTGATCTTTTCCAAGGGAAATGGGTTTATGATGAAGTCTATCCTCTCTACGATCCTTCAGTCTGCCCTTTCATCGAACAGCTGTTCGACTGCCAAAGGAATGGTAGGCCTGATAAATTATACCTCAAATATAGATGGAAGCCCAATGGTTGTGACTTGCCAAGGTATGCCCTACACCTTTTCTTTACCCAAAAAGAGAAAAGAAAAGAGCAGAAAAAGCCTTACTCTATGGTCTAATGTAAATTATAGCATCCCATGTGATACCATCAAAATATATATGTATAAAAACTTAGAACAAATAACAATAAAGCAATGGTCATATATACTGTATTTAGGGAAAATTTGACAATATAAATCCCTCAAATAGGGGAGAGATTTATATTTAACAAAATTGTGAGAACTGAAAATAAATTTCCAAATTAAATTCATAATCTTAGAAAAATCCATATCTTAAGAGATTTTTTTTGGTATTCGGTTTTCATGCACCATTAATAATTTTCCCTTGACCCCTTTTTTCCTCAAAATGCTAGTTGTGGGATTTGATTCCGCATCAATGTTGGAACAAATTTTTTAAGAGAAAATTTGATTCATATTGAGGGAATACTCAAATGGGGTAGGGGCGTTTGGTTCTCTCATGGGATTGGCATAAATAAACGCCCACGTCCCAATTCATTAGTTTTGTTTGAATCTTATCTTTCACCAATTCAATTATAAACCCCTCCACCTGGATCATGTGAAAAGATCCTTGATTGAATGAGTACTAGTGCTTCATGATATACCTAAAATCCTAAATTTTGATGCTGGCGTTCCAACCTCTAGCTTGTTGAATCAATGTATTACCTAGAACCGAATCATTGTCAAATAAACTATTTCTTTTAATTACTTTGTTGTTCTCAGTCTTAATAGTTTAGTGTTTCTGAAGAACTTCTTGCATGGATCTCTTGCCTCAAATGCATGAGGAAGCCAAGGTGATCTCCATTTCATTTTTTTTAGCATTTAAATTCCTATCAGTGAGTCGTCATCATTTTTTTAGCATTTAAATTCTAAATCTAGCAATAATGAATGAATATTGTATATGTGAATTCAAATGGGATTAAAATAATTAAACTGACAGCTAGTAATGCATTATACATCCATCAATACTCCCGGCCCCAGGCCCCCACCTCCTATCAATAGATACATACTGTTGACTATTTTATTTAGAGTTCAATTATGGTGCATTTATTAATATTGGCTGCATGTTAAATCCAAATTCCAACCAATCACGTAAAAGTTTATTTACTTTTCAATCATTCACATTTCACAAAAACAAGACGTACTTAAGCTACGTTTAGAAGCAATGCAAATAAGTGTAAACGCAAATATGCATATAGAGTGTAAAACGGTTCATATAAATTACAAAATTAGGTTAGTTTTGCACTGACAAATTTACCCTCTTACAAAACAGACTTTAAGATGTAATGGATGTAAAAATAAATTTCAATAAAGCATATATTTTTTTATTATCAAAAGCTCACTTGAATACAAATTTACCTTTTTTTTATTGATGTACTTTTACATTTTATTATCAATGTAAATATACATTGATCTGTCATTTGTCAATGCATAAATATAATATTATCAAATACAGATAAAAATGAACTAGAGTGAAAATTTACCCCGAACTGAGATTTACACTCCATTTGCATCGTTTCCGATCCAAGCCTTAATTATTACCATCACCTTCAACTAATCACATCTTTTGCTTTACCTTTTATTTTTGTTCACACTAAATGGTGATGCAGTTTCAATGGTCATGACTTCTTGTGGAGATTAAGGGGTAAAAGCATCATGTTCGTTGGAGACTCACTAAGCCTCAACCAATGGCAATCACTGACATGTATGCTTCACACTGCACTGCCAAACTCTAAGTACAGCTTGGTGAGAAATGGGGGGCTTTCAACCTTCAAATTCCTGGTGGGTCCAAGCTCTCCCTACTTCTCCAATTCCCCATTTGATGTCAGCTCTTTACAAACATGTGGCACGAATCAACTATACTCATAATGTTCATTGTCCTGATCATAAAAAGAGTACATTTCTTTTGGGACTCTTTTGGACCCACAGTAGAACTTGTCTGGTTCTAAGTTTTCAACCATTGCACCATTCAATTGGGCATTTTGGATGGTGACAAATGACAGAAGTAAGTGATAGAAAGGGAGGAAGCCCTCTCACAGATAAGGGATAAACGTGGTGGGTTTGGTTGATGGAGACTGCCACATTACGTAAGAAGTAAGTGATAGAAACGTATATCTAGTTGTCTTATCTTTTGTTTTTCATTCATCCTGCAGGATTATAGGGTTTCAATTATGTTCTCTCGTAATGCATTCTTGGTGGATCTAGTAAGCGAAAGAATTGGAAGAGTTGTTAAGCTCGATTCCATCAATGGTGGGGAGGCATGGAAAGGAGTTGATGTGCTGATCTTTAACACGTGGCATTGGTGGACCCACAAGGGACCCACACGAGAGTGAGGGGCTTCTTCTTCATCTAGCTAGCAGATTTTGATTAACCTCAGCCGTGGTAATTAATTAGGGTTAACAAATGGTGGTTGAAATGTGTAGATGGGACTATTTTCAAGTAGGGAACAGGTTGTTAAGAGATATGGATCGTTTGGTTGCTTTCAAGCTAGCGTTGGCGACTTGGGCCAAATGGGTGGAGGCCAATGTCGACCCTTTGAAGACAAGAGTCTTCTATCAAGGAGTCTCTCCAGCTCATTACAAGTAAGACCTTGAAGCCGACATGTATCAATCAGTCAAATTAAGCAAAAAGAAATTAAAAAGAAGGTTTGACAACCATACTTAGACAAAATTGGTGAGTCTATCTCCTTACGTGTTCCTTTATCTGGTTGCCTTTATTCAGTGGGAGCGAATGGAATGCAGCAAGGACAAATTGTTACAGGCAAATTCAACCACTGGAAGGATCAGATCAGCTACAAGGTTCTTCTAAGGTAGAATCTGTGGTGAAGAACAAGTTGGGTAGCATGTCGAAGCCCGTCTCTTTGCTTGATGTGACAATGCTCTCAAGGTTGAGAAAAGATGGCCACCCATCGATCTACACAAGCTATAGCCACACTGGAATGGACTGCAGCCATTGGTGTCTTGCTGGTGTTCCTGATACTTGGAACCAGCTCCTATATGCTCTTCTCATTCAGAAATAAAACATAAATTACTGGGTTTAATTTAATTAATCAGTTAATCTACCACAAGATTGTCTTCATAGTTGATTAATTAATTTTGGGTAAGAATTGAGATGTATTTACAGTGGAATGGACTGCAGCCATTAGTGATCTCTTTCTGGTGTAACCAGCTCCTATGTGTTCTTTTCATTCAGAAATAAAACTATACATTACAGATGGGTTTAATTAATCTACCGCAAGATTGTCTTCATAGTTGATAAATTAATTAATTTTGGGTAATTTTCTTTTTTAACTCATCTGATTGATTGAATTGAGACTTTTTCTAAGTGGGTATTATGTATTTTCAGTTTTTCACTGTCCTCATTTGTTGAACAGCCAGAGGTTTTTAGAGGGTTTTGGGTTTTCTAGTTTAACCAACCAGTTCAACCGGATTTATTAGATAATATTTCTGCCGACACTTGGTTTATTAACCCGCCATGGTGAGCGGTTTAACAAAAAACGGACCGTTCAAAGGCCAACCCACCGAGGGCCACTTGACACAAAATTTTTCTGTTATATCTTACCGTGAGCCAACAGTCATACCTCTCGCATTACAAAAATTCAGAGTAAGAATTGAAAACTGAAGGGGACCAGAAAAGGTTCAACTTGTAGGAAGTAGGAACTTGAAAGATTCCATTTTTCTTCTCTCTCTCTCTCTCTCTCTCTCTCTGGCTCAAGTTAGATGCCAACTATAGTGATATTCATACAATTAATGCTCCAAATCATCCTTTCCATAAACGAACCAATTCGACACTCAAACGTAAATGAGGAGAAAATCAAGAATCCCACCATATATTTTACTACCTTTTTTTATAAAAGTTCTATTTTCATTAACCATTACTGCTGCTTTAAACAGAAACTTCAAATCCAACCAAATTTACGTTCCCCTAACCCTACTCCATCCTTGCTTTTAAAATTCCAAACTTTGTTTCCTTCGCTTCTCCGCTTGCTCTTCTCCTTCTCAGACATTCTTCGACATGGGTCTTTGGTCTGGTAGCTCATCTCTTCTGACTGGGTTGAGTCTTCTTCTCTTGGTGTTGGTTTCTCTTCTCCACCAAGTGAATGGAGAGAATATCAATAACACGAACAGATTACAAAAGGTTGGATGTGATTTGTTCCAGGGGAGTTGGGTTTATGATGATTCATATCCGCTCTACAATTCCTCGGGCTGTCCTTTCATCGAGAAAGAATTCGACTGCCAAGGTAACGGCCGGCCGGACAAACTCTACCTCAAATACAGATGGAAGCCCACTACGTGCGACGTGCCCAGGTACCATTCTTTCTCTTTCTCTCTCTCTGCATTGCTTGTTTCTGAATTTACTTATTGGATTTGAGTCAAACACTTACGGAACAAGTTGCAGCTGTTCCGTCCAGTACTTGAACGAGAAACTGGCCTAGGAATCATGAATCTCTTCTTCTCAAGATCCTTTGTGGGTCTAGCTACTAGGTCCACCCATTTCTGTCTGTGACAGTATGACTGCATCTCATTAGTCATTCCCCATTTCTTATTTTATTTCTCTGGGATTCTCTTAAAAGAATGAAACCAACCGGATGGTTGTCTTCTGGGTCTCATCTCAATTCTCAAATCTCAATCACTAGTCGGCCGGGTGGTGATATTGTTTTGGTGGGGTGAGCTAGGCTTCACATGGTCACAGAAGGAAAACAGAGAAAGAGAAACGTCGCCATGCCCATGCAAGAGGTGGAGACATGGCCCACGAGGAATGCAGATGTGCATTGTTTTGTGTGAGCCAGGAGCCGGCCATGTCGATTACCTCTCAAATCCATCAACGGCGCATGGCCATACATGTGGGGAACTGGGGATATGGACAATGGGGTTGCTTTCTTCTTTCAGCTGGCATCAGAATGATTGAGCTGAGTCCTCCCGTGATGGAATGGACCCAACAGACCACAGGAATTGCTCTTGTTTTTCTTTTTGTTTGTATGCTTTTCCTTCTGGGTGGTTGCTTTGGCACGCCAAGCGGCACATTCCCCCAGAAATGGTGGGAGCTGGAAGCTGTAAAGGTACTCTTTTCAACAGAAGAAAGTTTGCTTTGGGCTGGTACAGTGTGTAGTGAACAGTGATATTTAGGGCAACTGGGAGGAATATATACCAAGGTGGGGTCAGTTGATTGATCTTATTGGGGCTCTAGAGTTTAGAGAATGTAAATTGTGATGATGTGAATGGAACGGGTAAAATGTCACATCTCAGACCCCTTACCATTCCATACCTGCATCTATACTAAAATAATAAGGTGGATATTTGTCTTTTTTTTGTCTAGGTTTTTATATGTTTGGATTCATAGAGCTTTTATTTCCTACAGACCTCCCACCCTTATAAATGACATTGTGATTAGGGTGCAAGATGAGTCGGGTTAGGTTGAGCTTCGGTGTGGAACTCCAAACCATGGTTTTCAAAATTGGATCACGCCAGATAGTTAGACCAGAAAAATTGGGAATCGATCAGGTGATCGGTTCTGTTTTTCTTCAAAACCGAATTTTTGCCAAAAAAATATTGATTTGGTCAGTAAACCGCTGACCTGGGTGGTTGAATCATTCGAACTGTTCAATGGTTTTGACTATTTTTTTATTTATTTACATTTTTTTATTTTTTGTCAAAATGGACTAACCATTCAATTTGAACGGTCAGATCATTTGACTCGGAAATTGGAGCCCTGATCGGTTCATTGTTCGGGTTGATTTTAAAAACCTTGACCCAAAGCTAAAGTTATTGGGTTGGTCCAACTATTCTACTTTTTCTAAAGGTTCTTATTTTTCAAGTTCAAGAGATTATTTCAGTTTTAGAATTATATGTAAATTGATATATTTATCATGCTTTTGAAAAATTTTGACTTTGATCTTGGAATGATTGATATATATAGATATATAAGTATTAATCATATATATAATTCTTTGCTCATATAATATTTATACAAATATCAAACTAAATTGAATTTGGATTGGGCCAAGTTGGCCAAGGCAAGGTTCAAAGTATATTATAAATAGGTCAAAGGGGTAGGTCTTAGGCCTGCCAATCCACTGAAATGGGTCAAAACCCCAAAAGTTATATTTCATATATCAATTTCCTATTGATAGGAAACATATTGGTTATGGGCTGATATATTGCAAAATTTTAACCCCTAGTCCAAGGTCTCAAACCCTAACCCAACCTAAGTTAATCACGTTAAAACTTTTCAGTCCAAACCAATCCGATCAAAGATCCAATCAGAAAAAAAAAATGAATATTGATACAAAACTGACTGGATCAAACCTAATTTTAAGCAATTTTATGCATGGTCGCCCTAGCTAGTATTTCTCTAGGCACACACCCGTACATAAAAAGAAGATACCCCTCTCAGTAATTAGTAGAAGATGCATTGCTTGTGGTTGCTTTTCGTTCCCTAAGAAGTGAGTAAGAAAAACAACCGAAGTTTTGTTGTTTAGGCTTTTACCAAATGGACAACTGATCAAATTTTGCTAATAAAAAGCACTTCCACTTCCATTACTTCGGGTTACTTTTTCTTGGTTAGGGTGGACCGGCTGGGGGTGGTCCGGACCAGACCAATACGAAGATAAAAATTTTAGAGGATGTTAAGGGTTGCCCTGGAATATTGTTGAATAATTCGCCCTTTTCTACCATTAATCACTAAAAATCAATTAAATTTGGAACATCTCCCATTCCTATCATGGGAATATATTTCCGATTAGGAGTGTCAATCGATCGGTTTTGGTTTGGATTCAATCCAATCCAAACCTTATCAAATCGGATTTAGACAGTCTATTGTAATTATTGGATTGGGCCAATCCAAAATAAATTGGTTCATATTCTTATTGGTTTGAATTAGACCTAAACCAAATTTCCAATAATCCGATCATGATGCGAAATCATTGTCCAATTTGAAATCAATCAAAACTGAAAACAGTATAAAATCACTTTTATGAAAGTATTTTTATGAAAATATTTTTATAAAAAATAATTTTATAAAAGTAATTTTATGATATTTCATTCGGTTTGGATTGGATCCAATCCAATCCATTTACATTTTAATGAATTGGATTCGATTTGGTTTGTATTAGATTTGGACTGGATTGGGTTCATTCCATTTATAAGTGGACTCACATTGGATTGGATCGGATTGGACCAAATCCGTCCAATTGACACCTCTATTTCCAATGCAAGACTGGGATGTACTGTGGGGCATGTGTGAAGTGCTCTCTATGGGGAGCCAATGCGAATTCAGCAGATGATACCTATCAATTTAGGAGTCTGGATCTGCTCTTCACAGAGCTCTCCTCATAAAGACCCCACAGCATGTCCCAGCCACACATCGGGAGCATCTCCCATATCAACGTGAGATGTTGCTGTGAGTTCGGTGTACTGAGCGCTATGTGAGCAACAAATCCCAATTCATTAGTTTAGTGGCATCCAGATGAAGGAAGTTTGAGGAAAAGAAAAAGAGGGATTAATAGTATGGGCTGATTTTTTTTGGCTCAGTGTGGTATGTGGTTTGATAGCTTGGGCCCATCTCTGTCTTTTTTTTTTTTTTTTTTTTTCCTTTCTTCTCCTCTTTTATAAAATTTTATGTTACCAAAAAAAGTAAAGATGAGTTTGGACTGACTAATGGCTTATGATAAAAATGTTCTTTACTTCCCTTGTGTGTCCTCTCTCTCTCTCACTATGCATAAAGAAAAGGCACATTTCTTCTTTTAGACCTTTGGTATTATCATTTGTCTCCAAACATCAAAGGCACGATGGGTTAAAACCTAATAATAGTAGTACGTTTTATCCTGTGTCTATATAACGTGGCATTTGAGTGAGTCAGGGTTGACCCACCAACCCTTTTTCGGTGTTGATTTTTTTTTTAATGATGACGAGTTGACTCTCACCCCCTTTCTGATATTTGAAGCAAGACTTCATCCAGAGTCCAGACTAGCTAGACCAAGGATAGCCCAATTCTTTCCTTTGTGCATGTTAGGTCTAAATCAATTTAAATTTCAAACCAGACTAAAATATCTAGGATTTGTTGGGCCTAACACATAATTGCCTCTTTCTCTCTCTCTCTTGTATTTGTGTTGTGAGTAGTAATTCGTCATTTAGCCTTTTATTTATTTCAAGTAATGCAATAACAATAACACAATTATCCAGGTTTGATGGCCAGGATTTCCTAAGGAGATATCAAGGGAAAAGCATCATGTTTGTTGGGGACTCCCTCAGTCTGAATCAGTGGCAGTCACTCACATGCATGCTACACAAATCAGTACCCAAGTCCAACTATACTCTAGTAAGAACAGAGGGCCTCTCCACATTCACTTTCCTGGTTAGTTTCTCTCTCCACACTTCCACTTTTTTTTTCTTCTTCTGGATAGAGTCTTGAGATAAGTTCAACTTAACAAAGCATCATCCACCCCAACTGTTATATGAGATTGTTACTTCGAACTCTGAAAACTCAAGCAAAATTTACAGGAGTACAATGTGAAGGTGATGCTGTTTCGGAATGCATTTCTGGTGGACATTGTGGGAGAAAAGATTGGGAGAGTTCTGAAACTCGACTCCATCGAGAGCAGCAAATCCTGGGAAGGAATTGATACATTGATCTTCAACACATGGCACTGGTGGCTTCACACTGGAAGAAAACAACCGTGAGCTCAGCTCATTACGTTACACCATCATATATATTAAGGGCTTAGCTCAAAATTCTACGTTCGATGCTTAATTGGATAAACCTTTGTCAACTAATTGACACGACGATATGATCTACTTGTTGTGGTGCAGATGGGACTTGATTCAAGATGGAGGTGTAATGTACAAAGACATGGATCGCTTGGTTGCCTTCGAGAAAGCACTCACAACATGGGCTGAATGGGTAGACTCCGAAGTTGATCCAACAAAGACTGATGTCTTTTTCCAGGGGATATCTCCAGATCATATGGAGTAAGTTCTAAGTTCTAACATTATACAATGAACCAGACCTTGCATTCAAATGATTCAATCTCTCTTTCTCTCTCTCTCTCTAGGAGTGCAATTTGGGCAGGCCCAACCTGAGATCTGACCGACCCAATAAATATTGTTTCATGGACTGGGCTTGAATTTTTGGTCCTTGGGCTGATCCTGGTCCCTAAATCCAGGACTTTTTTTTGTTTTGCACTGGGCCCAGATCTACTCCTTAAGTAGCCCAAATTGGTTAAACTTAGCCCCACCTGATTCCAGACAACTATACACATACATATGGTTTTTTTACCAAGTATATACATAGATATTACATATACACATCCATACATATATATTTACATGTAAAATATACGAAAGTCCTATTTAAAGGTTTAAATTAGTGATACTAAATAGTACATTGGGCTTAATAGATTTAGCTCCCTCGGCCAACTTGAACCTGGCATAGGCCTGAGCCCAACCCAAGTATGTCAATTTCAGTTTTAGGGTGGATCTGTGCTGAAAAAATAGGGCTTGACCTCGGGCTCAGTTTGAACTCAAGGTTGGACCTAGGATGGAGAGATCAGCGTATCAGGCTTGAACTCAGGCCCGGCCTGAGCTCAGGGTTGGGCCTGGGTTCTCTCTCTCTCTCTCTCTAACAAGCTCATGGCCCTAACCAACCCATTGTTTCCCCTCTTCTTATTAAATCAGTGGGCGCGGTTGGAATGAACCAGAGACAACCAATTGCAATGGACAAACGCAACCAGTTTTAGGATCAAATTATCCAGGAGGTCGGCATCCGGCAGCAATTGTGGTGGAGAGGGTGTTGAGTAAGATGTCAAAACCAGTCTATTTGCTAAATGTGACCACACTTTCGCAGCTGAGGAAGGATGGGCACCCGTCAGTTTATGGTCATGGTGGCCACCGGGACATGGATTGCAGCCATTGGTGTCTGCCTGGTGTTCCTGATACTTGGAACCTGCTCTTCTATGCTGATCTCATTCAGAAGTGATGCTCTGTTTTATGAAAAGAGCAACCTTCATTTGAAAACAAAAATTATTCATTTTTATATTTATCCCATTGGAAATTTCAAATATATAATACAACTTTAAATAAAGGGGAGGTTTAATTATATTTTCAGATGATTTATGTGCTTGATTGCAGATGTAACATATTTATGTAGCAAAAGAAAAAAAAAAATAAACACTAAATTTCTACCTCCATATATATTTATTTGTTTCCAGTACAATTTAGTGCAAATTCATAAGAGTTATGTACTTTTACTTTTCTGACTTCAAAGGTAAAACTCCAAACAGAAGACCAAAAGAGATTAAAAAATAGAATTTGTACTCAACTCATTTGCACTCTTATATATTTGCACCAATTCAAGTGAAAATGCACTGTAAAAATACTTTGCTTGAACCATGGACTCAAAGGATATTTTGGGGATCTATAAATGTGCTCTAATGTATAAATTAAGAGCTCAATGGGCTGACCTCCATGGAAAGCAATTAGGAAACTTTGGTTTCTTTGTGTCAATTTGTGGTGCAACAAGAAGTTATTGGATTTTGTTTTCTAGATCAAATTAGAGGATGGATGCTTGCTCATTCTCCTACATGATATCCGTATCTATAGTGCCAATGAAAGTTGTGTTTATTTAGAAAATTGAGGCATTTATAAACAGTAAGGCTGTATTTGGTTGCAATGCAAATAAAATTGCATTGATGCAAAACTATGTCAGTGCAAATGATTTGAGTGTAAATTTTAATTTATTTTTGTTTCAAATTTTAGCTTATTTTGTTTGATTGCAATATAAATGAATTAAATTAAGACATGAAGTCAAATAAAGTAAAACCTAAAACAAATTAAACAAGAATTTGCATTTTATTTATTTGCACTCTCATGTATTTGTACTAGTGCAAATAAAATTGCACCCCAACCAAACACAACCTAATGAAATAAAATTGCACTGCAACCAAACGGGAATGAGATTTTGATTGCGCCCAACCAAACAGTTGGAATCAGAACAGCCCATTCTGATTCTGATTCCATATCCCTATTCCTACGAATCAAACAGGGCCTCAATTGATTAATGCATTTATTTTAAAACTAGAAAGTTGACCAAACTGCTTTCTAACTTCCAGTGGATAGGGGTGCAACTTAGGCGGGCTCAAATTAGGGTTTTGTCAAAATTTGAATGGGCTTGATCCAAAAACCCAAGTTCCATGCAATGTAAACTCTTACGGTCAAATACTTGATTTGCACCCCTACCAGCTAGGGATGGCAATGGGGTGGGTTCGGGGAGGATTTTGTAAATTATAGACCCTACCCACCTCTTGAAACCTCTCAACCCGTACCCACCCCAAAATCTATAGCGGGTTGGATTTTGAGAATCCAAATTAACCCTCTCCGCACATGAAAGTGCAAAACCCTACCCTCCTCGTATTTAAAGGTAGGACCGGGTTGGGTTGAAAACCTGCATCCAATTTCCTATTACTTCTTGTCATATATAAGCAATAAATAAATAAAATAACACAAATAAACATCAAGACTTCTAATTATTTGATTAAGAAATGTAAAAAACACATAAAATCAATTGTCCTTCACATAAAATTCAAAATATCATTAAATCCAACACCTATTACATAAAATTTATATGCTTTCCAACAATATGTGGGTTGAAAAGGGTTGGGTTTAGCCTAATACCGTACCCTACCCGTACCTATACAGGTTGTAGAATTCTGAAACCCGTACCCGCCCCAAAACCCATCATTTAAGCAAAAAACCCCGACCCATCGGGAGGGTAGGGGCGGGTACCCACTGGGTAGGGTAGAAATTGCCATCCCTACTATCAGCAGACAGCTTGACATCGTTGGTACCCATCTTGTCCCATGTTTAATTTAGCTCATTTGCTTAGTTTTTTTTAAGCTCAGCTTAATTGGAAAGAATACAAATATAAATATGTATAAATACATATAAAATAATACAAAATAAAAGGTTTTACACTCTATATATATTTGTACTAGTGAAAAAACCCGTGTGATGCACGGAAAGAGAGAAAAAAAATGATAGTTAATGAGATGCATTACTTTTTCGAAGAAAATGGAATAATAATCATATCATTTGTGACTAATTTTGACTATGGCTAAGCCTTATGCAGCTAGGAAGCATTCATAACCATTCATAAATTAGGAATTTGATGCAAATGAAGCGGGGGAAAACGACATTTAAACATGAAAGTAGGTGGATCACAATGCGAAGAATCCATGTTGGAATTGGACTTAACTTGGAGTGGTAGGAGTAGGAATCCCTCAAGTTTTAAATGAATCATGTTCGGGGACTTGCTGAGGAAGTCAACCTAGAATTTCCATACATTTAATGTCTTGAATTTAAAAGATAGGGAGATTTAATTTTATTCGTTTATATGATTATAAGATTCAACCAAATAAATTTAGACAAATGCATGGGTATACATCCTAGGAGCACAATATATGGCATTGTGCTCAAATGCAGCTTCAATTAAAAGGACTCATTATCTAGGTTTGCGTTTGCCCGATCTCCAAATAACTTAAATTGCACAATAAAGTCAAGGTAAAGAGCACTAACAATTATAAGATATAACCAAGAAATGTTTTGAACTGTTTCGTGAGCAAGCCAATAAGCCCCAAATACAAACTGACAATGTACAATCATACATGAATCATGTATGCTAGACCTGAAAAATACATGAAACATTGTGTAAGAGTTGATACCAACAGAAACTACATTAAGAGAGAAACATTTATATGCAAACTGTACAAAACAGAACAATGCATTAAGTTCCTACCATGTGCTGAAGGTTAGCAATAGCCAAGTAGTCAAGAAATTGATTGGATTATATTCTTCAATTAATCTATGTATTAACATATCTAGGTTGAAATATGTAAGATTTTGGAGTTGGGGATTTCAATTTGATTTTTAATGAATTTGTATGTTCACCCTCTTCACGAACAACTTACATGTTCATCTTAAAAACCTAAAATTGAGAAAGCAGGAAACAAAACCAAAGTTTTAGGCATTACCAACTAAAAGTAACTTCTTGAAACCGAAAAACCCCCACCTCCTAGATGATTTTCTTTCTGATGGAGGATGATTTGACCCGACCCCTTGAGACGGTGATACGTAGATATGACTCAGCATAAGTAACAGCTCAGCACAACAGTCTCACCGCGACTAAGTAACGAGCCTACAGGACAGCTCGCCATAGGATGAGCTCGCTATAGGATGAGCTCGAGGACCCCCGATGTACTAAAAGGGAATACTCCAAGACAAGTCTAACTCGCGAGCTAGGATAACCAGCTCGCTCCAATACTTAGGCAAAAAAACTGCCTCAAGGGCCACTTCAAGAGGAATCACCTCACAATACCCTCAGGAGCTCGCTACAAGGTAGCTTGCGATAGGATAGCTCGCTACAGGGCAGCTCGCTACTAAGCAACGCGATATTTTCAGGAAGATTCTATCTGACAAGACCGTACCCGTCAGACTGTGCCACATCTCCTGATCGACGGCGCAGACCCTGCCAGCCTGACAAGTCTGCGCCCACGTCTCTTGACAGGTGGTGGCGTGTCTGTCCTTCCAGGACGTGTCACTCATCCGAATGGGTAGTACACTGCAGTCTTGGAAGATAACGGCTACGACAGAGGTCCAGTGGCGGTTACACCCGATTTGACAAGAACGCTCATGTATAAGAGCCCCCTAGTTGAAGGGAAGGGCTCTCTCGAATATCTGATATCTTATCTGGAATACCTCGAACTTTCTCTCGAACTAAGCGAGGTATACCCAAGGGAAGGGCTCTCAGTGATCTAGCGCGACCTACACTCTTAGCCTTCTTTACACTCTTTACCCGATCTTGACCCCGCAGTTCGCCTCACCGCAGCCAAGCGAGGTATTACCTACAAAGAGTTCAAGTGGCACGTAGTTGTCAATCAGCCCAAGACCGTGACCAAGTTCCTCAAGCTCGCAGGTTAGTTTATCAGGATGGAGGAAGAGATCAAACAGAAGGGCAAGCAGACCCTCGAGAAAAGTAAAAGGGAACCAAAGCCCTCAACTCAGGGCGACAGCAAGAAGAAGAAGGACCAAGCTCGGGGGGCAAAGCCAAATCAGCCTTTCCGAGCTCCAGTAGCAGAAAGGGACTACACGCCCCTCAATGCGAAGCGGGCCGAGATCCTCATGGCGATCAAGGATGCCCCATATGTGAAGTGGCCACCTCGGCTGAAGGCGGACCCTAATGTTAGAAATAAAAATTTGTATTGTAGGTTTCATAAAGACCACAATCACAATACCGAGAATTGTAAAACCCTCCATGACGAGATAGAGGAGCTCATTCGTCGTGGGTATCTGTGAAATTTTGTACAAAATAATAATAGTAATAATAAAGTAGGTCGGTAGGGGGAGCAGAGTAGAGACGCTCCCGAGTCCAGCAGGCAGCATAACAACCGCAGAACCAGCCCCCCGAGGAGAACCTGCCTCAGCCTAGCATTCT